AGAAGAGGGTAGGTGGATAGTTCCGTTAGAGTACGGCAGTATGAAAATTGAATGGAAGTTGAAAATTAGCGAAGGGCCTTTAATGCGACAGTTTTTAAAGATCGACGCACATTTTTGCCTGTGGACTTGGAGACATACTTCAAGTCCCCGCGTACATCGTACGGGTTAGGCAAAAATGTGCGTCGATCTTTAAAAACTGTCGCATTAATGGCCCTTCGCTCATTTTCAACTTCTATTCAATTTTCATACTGCCGTACTCTAATGGAACTATCCACCTACCCTTTTCTAAAGATCATTCTCTAGCTAATAAATCATTACACTAAAGCTTCATGTTAGCATTTCCAACCAACTCTGAAAATCGTTAACTTCGCGTATGAAGTAACATAAAAAACACTTTGAATGTTGGATGATGATGTGACGAATGGTTCCGTTTTCAGGCCACAACTGCAGATCGCTTGCCAAATCATAGTCATCTTCGCGAACTTGTCTGCAAACGCGAACTTGGCTCTTCTCGACACATCCCCACGTCCAGACGCGATGTAAAACTTTTTACCGGGAAGCTGCTTAAAATCGAGTTTGACGTATGTTTTGTCATCGATCGCGGTCTTACAAGAGCCTTTGTACGCTTTTTGATCACGGAATTCTGCTTCATGTGTCGGTTCGGATGTTTACTAACTTTGTACGACTTATACCCCTGGCAAGGATATTCCGCACCGTTTGAAAGTTGGCGTTGTACCTTCTGGTCACATCTCGGATCGAAAGACCGGGGTTGGCTTTAACGCACTGCAACACCTTGCTGACGATCCTTGGTTCCAGTTTTTTTCGTACGTCCGCTGAATCCTTTCAATACTCAGGGTTCTCTTGTATGTTTTGAGCACTCGACAAACTGTTGTTTTCGGCATCTTCAGCACTTGGCCAGCTTGGAACCGGACCACTCCGGATTTTCCAGGTGTTTGTGGACAATACTTTTTCTTCTTTCGAGTTCCATTTGACGTTATTTCTGAACGCGATCGACTACTTTGATGAAACTTGCAACGGTTGTTCTCTATAGAAGTGTAAACTGTCAAAGATTTTCGATTCCCAACACTAGAGGCGTGCTAGCGGTGCACGAGGGGCATACCAATTTACTTTTAGTCAACCTTTAGAACGATATTGTAGGATTGATTTGCGAGTCTTACATTTTCACCACAATTTGAATGTTTAAATTTCTTAGGATCTTCCTTCACATGACAGTCGTTCTTTGGGTGAGAGGAATCACCGCAATTCATGCATTTAGCAGGCATGTAGATTTTTTGTCCCGTGACCTCATCCCTGGAACTTACGGCACTGGGTGAGGTTGTGGAAATTTTCTGCAGTCTTCCTGAAGTGTTCCCACTTCACTGGGACATGGAGCATACGGCTAGCCGACGGCCAATTTGCAGTGAAAACTTGAATTTCACGAAGTTCAAAAGCATGGAAATCAGAAGTGGTATCGCAATAGGAGGAATCTTTTCCTTCTTGGCATTAAGCCGGGAAAGTTTACTATAACTTTTCACTTGATGATACAAGAGGGTCTTTCGGTAACCTTTGAAACTTCTGGATCTCTAGTAAACCTTTGAACTCATAGCAAAATTCTCTGAAGTGCAAATTTTTTAAACTATTAAGACTAAAAGAGCTATTTCTGGATTTTAAAAATATACCTTGAACAGTTTGAACACCTGAAGCTTCTGACACTCCAGCAACTCTTGAAAGTCCCTGAAATTTCTGGAAGTTCCGATACTCTTCCAAATCTTGACCAGAAGAATAGTATGAAGAGTCGCATGATCGTGAAGCCCCACATTGTAATTCAAGAGCAAATTTTCATTACGTCGAAAGTACCAAAGGTCAACAAAATCGAGCTATCAGTGTCAATCGATGCTCCTGCTATTACACTATATCAAGAGCAAATTTTCATTATGTCGTAAGTAACATTCGCACCGATCCGAGAAAAATAAAGTTTTGTTTTGATGACCGAAAAGTTATTCCTATTTCCAATTAAACACATATAATCTCATAGTGATAGCAATGTTTAAGGTTCAATTTACTTTGAAGCATTTTTAAAAAAATTAAAAGCAGTTTTTTTCGACGCATTATTTTAGATTGCAAATAGCTCGCGTCATTTTGTGTAAAAAATCAAAAGGAATCGAATAGTGCGAGCTTTTTGCAATCTGAAATAATGCGTCGGAAAAAACTGCTTTTGAAATTTTCCAAAAAGCATCAAAGTAAATTGAACCTTAACATATTTAGCCGGGTTTTAATCATACAAAGGCAAATCGCGAGCTTTCATGCTAAGAAATACTGGTTTTTGAGTCAAAAGTTATTATACGTCGTTTGGTGGCCCCTATTGTTACTTAAGTCAAAGTGTATTTACCAGGATATTCGGTAGAATTATCAATTACGTCTCCTTACGTGCAGCCCATTCATCATTTTAGGACCACCGAAATCATCTTAGCAACAAACAGTTCGATTTATTCACTTTAATAATGAGAAAGCGAAACGACGAAAGTACACTTTTCACGGGTTTCTCAGTGCTGTTACTCAAGGCAAACGGCATCTCCATAGAAATTGGGTGACTTAAGTAACATAGCAAACTATTTTGATCGGAAGGTGATTACGTCAAAAAGCAATTTGACTGGTAAATAAATTTAAAAATTGGATGTGATCCTATATTCGGACAGTATATAGTGTAATAGCAGGAGCATCGATTGACACTGATAGCTCGACTTTGTTTACCTTTGTTACATTCGACGTAATGAAAATTTGCTCTTGATATACTGTCCGAATATACACACTTAGATTTTGTTGCCGAGATTGGCACCACCGAGCAGGTTCGGCATTTATTTTTACTGAGATCTCGGCAAAATTCCCGTTTGTTAGCTGAATCTCCGCAAAAGTTTCACTGAGATCCAGCAAAATAGATTGCCGAGCTGCTCGGTGGTGCCCATCTCGGCAAAAAATCTAAGTATGTAGGATCACATCCCATTTTTTAATTTATTTACCAGTCAAATTGCTTTTTGACATAATCACCCGATTTATATGGAGATGCCGTTTTTTCTTAAGTAACAGCGCAGATAAACCCGTGAAAAGTGTGCGTTCGTCGTTTCGCTTTATCATTATTGAAGTGAATCTAACTGTTTGTTACTAAGATGATTTCGGTGGTCCTAAAATCCGGAGTGATTTGAGATTTGGGCGTAGTTGCTTTTATAAACAAACACGTCAATCGCCGATTTATCACGAATAAAAGCTCAATGTTGTAAACAAACTATACCAACTGATAGAGGAATCATACCTCTACCTGATAGTGTTATTAGTTTTTGACATTGAGCTTTTATTCGTGACAAATCGGTGATTGACGTGTTTGTTTACAAATGCAATTACGGCCAAATCTCAAATCACTGGTAATATCCTGGTAAATAGACTTTGACTTAAGTAACATGAGGTGGCCAACAAACGACGCACAATAACTTTTGACTCAAAAACCAGTATTTTTTAGCATCAATGCTAGCGATCTGCTTTGTATGATTAAAACCCTGCTTCATTTGTTAAACATTGCTATCACTATGAGATTAAATTTGTTTAATTAAAAATAGGAATAACTTTTCGGTCATCAAAACTAAACTTTACTTTTCTCGAATCGGTGCGAATGTTACTTTCGACATAATGAAAATTTACTCTTGAATTCATGCCAAGTCAAGTGGTGTTTATTGTACATGCGTCAAAATAATCGCACATACTTCTTTCCTCCTCTCCAAATTCCATTCTCCACGCCGGATCAGACTGGCCTTTCGGGTCAACTTTTCCCCAAAATCCACTTGTGCTTCCCAGCGATCATCAAAGGAAGGAATTTCAGAAACCACCCCAACTCACCCTCAGAATCAAACAAAGCAGGATCCCGTTCGTTGGCCGCCTGGCTTTCAGTCAGGCACCAGAAGAACAGAAGCGAAAGTGCGAAAGAGAAATATTTTGCAAGCGACGCGTTCCTCGCACGTGCAAAGCATGCTGTCTATCTCAAGTTGTTCCTTCTGCCGCTAGGTGCGCTAGTGGTCGCCAATGAAAATGCTGGCGAGATTTCTCCTTCATGGAGATCATCTTTAATGACGACGACGGCGGCGACGACGACGATGATGATGTTTCAATATTTTGAAATCGAAATGCCATTTGCGTTTCGGGGTTGCGGTTGGCCGCGGCATTCTTTCCCCAGATTTTACGAACTCAACTTCTTGATTTCGGGTGATGAACAGAGGAAAGCGAACCGAAAGAGGGATTGGGAGACTCGATGGTGAGATTAAGAAGGTTCGACTTTCGTTTCTTGTAGGGTGAAGAGTATGATGCTACGACTACGTGCTTGAAATTGGGTCTCGAGAGGGGCTGAAGCCGTTCTCCACCCTATGTAGTCTCTTCCTTTCTTCCCGCGCGTGAACAGAGTTCTCATCAGGTCACTTTGCTTGTTTCGGTTGTTTCGCTTTCAATTCTGCCGTCGTCTTCGTCGTCGTCTTCGTGTCATTAAACATCCAGAAAGTGTCAATAACGAGTCAGGTATGGGTAGATTTAATGGATTTTGTGTGTGTGTGCGCGGTGCAGACGAGAGCTTTCGATCGAGTTGTCTTTCGTTATGCTCAAATGCCGCTGTTTGTTTTCCACGTCAAATGAGGATTGATTTCTATTAAATGAATTTAAATTGATTCATTTTCCGTGAAATGCGGAGATCAGTTGGGTTCGCACGGTTGGTGGTGGTGAATGGGAGAACGAACGGACGCTGTGGGCGTGGGTCGTGAAATCACTTGTCATTTTGGGACGGTATAGGGCATTGGTCTCGATCGCTCAACGCCTGTTCCGCGATCAGCGTGGAGTCGGTGAAAGCGAGGGGTCCCGAAATTTTGGTAATTAATTCGGGGAGGCTGACGATGCGGGAAACCTTTCACGAATGATTGTACGTGGCATTGATTGGAGTTTTATTCTTCTTCGTTTTGTTCTAATTGCAGTTCCACGTGGCGACACAGGCGAATGAAATATGGCCAGTAGAACGACCGGACGGAATGCCACAGATAACCGCTCTCGAGGTCATGTGCGGCAAGGATCACATGGACGTACATCTATCATTTTCGGCACCGTTCGAGGGAATTGTCAGCTCCAAGGGTAAGTCGTTTGGGTTAGGACTGGTCAAAAGTCAAATTTAAGCATCCTTTCGTACTTACAGGTCAACACAGTGATCCGCGCTGCATCTACGTTCCACCGTCAACCGGCAAGACGTTCTTCACGTTTCGGATTTCCTACTCTCGCTGTGGCACCAAGCCGGATCTGAACGGTCAGTTCTACGAAAACACCGTCGTCGTGCAGTACGATAAGGACCTGCTGGAAGTGTGGGACGAAGCCAAACGGCTGCGTTGCGAGTGGTTCAACGACTACGAAAAAACCGCCTCTAAACCGCCGATGGTCATTGCCGATCTGGACGTGATTCAGCTTGATTTCCGAGGTTTGTTTGGATCAGCCTTGCATTTCCGTTAATCTTCAATGCTAATCGATTTCTCTTCAATTGTAGGTGACAACGTCGACTGCTGGATGGAGATCCAGCATGGAAAAGGTCCCTGGGCTCCGGCAGTCAGTGGAATCGTACCGCTGGGATCCACGATGACGTTGGTCGTTGCGATCAACGACTTCCGTGGTGAGTTCGATATGCGGGTCAAATCCTGCGTGGCATCCGATGGAGCCGGACACGTGATCAAACTTAGCGACGAGTATGGCTGCGTGCTGCGACCGAAGATGATTTCCCGTTTCCTGAAGGCACGTGCTCCGGACGACAAGGCCTCCGTCATTACGTACGCCTTCTTCCACGCCTTCAAGTTCCCCGATGCTCTGAGCGTGCACATCAAGTGTAAGGTCGAAATTTGCCGTCATGGATGTTTGGATCACTGTCAGCACAGCGGACCGTCCAGTGGACCTGGAAAACTGCACAGTCTATTGGATCGCAAGGACACCCTGGACAGCCACCAGAACAGTAACGACATTCTACAGGAATCGGACGAGGTGGATGCAGAATCCAGCAACCAGGACGTATTCTACGATGACATCATCCATACGGATAAGAACTCCAACCAGCCACCACCACCCCCTCCACCGGCGCCAAAGAAGCCAATGATGCCGTCCATTCAGAAGAAGAAGGATAGTGGCTACCTGCAGTACCATCACCATAACCGGGATCCACTGGACGAACTGGAGCAGCTGTTCCTCAACGACCACTCAATGATGCCAGCTGAGCTGCTCAAGAAGCAAGCGCCACCACCTCCTCCACAGATGCAGCATCAGTTGCCACCACAGCCACTTCCGCAGAAGCAACCGCACAAGTCTACCCCGGAAGATGAGAAGTTCCCCCACGGACCTCGCCAGATGGATGCTGAAAAGCGAATGGGTCTACCAGCCGTTGCTGGACCACGCAAGCTTAACCTAGACGCTGAAGACGTACGGAATCCAGTGTACGTCAACGAAGTGCCCAAGCGGCGCGTCCGCCGATCCATCAAGATCACCGACCGGAAGATCCGCTCGACGGACGTCGGTGTCAGTGGCATCTACGACGTCATCTCCGAAGCCGATCTGGCCTTCAATCCGGACACCAAACAGGAAGCCGTCACCATCTTCCAGGGTAAGATCAGCGAGGAAGTCGTCTACGGCATCTGCATGCCCGTTCCGGGCTTCAGCATTCTCTTCATCCTGGTTATTTCGGCTACCATCATCTCGGCGCTGATTGCCGGTTCGCTGCTCTACCGGTACCAACTGCAGAAGGAGATCATGGCTCAACAGGCGAGCGGAGTTACCCCGAGCCACTACCCACCGAACAATTTTGCCACCTGGATGACGCTGAGACTGTTCCGATCCCGACAGCAGCATGCGGCGGCAGCAGCGGCAGTGGCTGCCTCTCTAGCGGCCAGTGGAGCTCGCGGTTCCATGGACATGAGCACGACAGCTCAGTAGCGAGCAACACCCAGCCAGGAGAACGCATTTGGCTCAGGCGACGCCTACTCTGTTTAATCTTGGACGTTCTTTCTTGACTTTGAGAGTATACTAGAAAAACGAAATCAATATTTAACGAAAAAGAAAAACACTCATCCACACACTTTCACCCAAACTCACACACAACGAAACTATTATTTTTTTCTCTTTTCGGGTTTATTGCAATATTTATTTAACCTACAATGAACAATCAATATTCGGCGAAGAGGAACGAATCAACTCACACCCACACAATCACGTTCTAGTTGGTAAGTTACGAAGGAAACAAACAATGGGAAAACGTCAAAACGCGTTCTAAGAGACCGTGTTTTCTGGTAAATCCATCCCATTGGAACAGGTTTTCCTTTTGTTTATTTTATATGTTACGAAGAAACATTGCTCAAAACAAGTCTCTTAATTCATTGCACTCAGTGTGGGCAGGAGATCAAAGTGCAGGAAACGACTGAGCGTGAACAACGGCGTACTTAGAACAAGAAGAAGAAGAAGAAGAAAACTAAAAATCGATTTGTAAGCGATTTATTTTGTTTAGCAAGCGAAAACAAAGATTACTCTAATGAATTAAAAAAAAAAACTTTGATAGGCGTAATTTATTAAATTGATAAGTTAAAAGAAAACGGTTAAAGCAATCGCAAGACGACGAAGACGAAGAAGAAGAAAAATGAAGAAAACAATGCTCAATCAGTAATTTTAAAAACAAGCGAAATGAACAAGCAATCGAATGGAACTCGTAAGTTATTTAATTTATTTTTTTTTCGTTTGTTCCACTAGTTGATCGATCTGCGAGAATGTGCGTCCTTCATGTTGCGGACGTGTTAGGTTATCAACTACTGGAACAATCCCTATAACTGTATTGAGGTTAAGTGCGCATTGTTTTGTAGATTGAGATGAAGCAATAGTAGCAAACTCTGTTATGGATAGTTGAAACAAATCACAGTATTGTATAAAAATAAGCCGTACCGGTGTTTTTTTCTGATCTTATCCGAACGATCCCATTGGGTTGTATTTGCGTCGCTGAAATGATGACACAAAAAACAGTGATTGTTAAAGGGGTACATGTTTGTGATACTTCCAGCACGGGATATCTCGTATACCTGGCGATATAGATGTTTACCACCTTGGGCAAAGTTGTTCAGGTGACCAAGACCTTCAGAATTCTCTCACTTCACAGCGCTAGTGTCGATGTAAACTTCGTTTAGCGGCGTCCATTAATTACGTAACGCTAAAAAATAAAGGTTTAACCCCAACCTGTTACAAAACTTAATGTGCAAAGTAACCCCCTTCTATTTATTACGTAATGCTCTTAAAGCCCCCTCCCTCCCATGCCTTTCATTTAATAAAATTCATATTTTTCAATTAATTTTTGATTTCATTATAACTTTTTTACTTCAAAGTAATTTAACATGTTCAAAATAAAAAGGAAAGATAAGCGTACCATCGAGTACCAGCTTTTCAAAAGTTTATGTATAGAATGCTTTTTTTTTTAATTGGCGCATAAACTCAAGCTAATATTGAATCCCGCGCAAGGCCGGGCACACTCAGCTAGTATGATATAAAATGGCATCACTGTCGTGTGTTGGCATTTTGCCAATCGTTGCTAAGGTTTACCTTTTTTGTTTACTCTATTGTGTTTGAAGATCGTGCCTTGCTACTTTTTGAAAAATTCCAAGTAAAAATACTGTGAGTATTGTTTTACCTTATCTCATCCCATTCGTAGTGAAAATCCCAACGGCTCGTGGTTTCATCCAGAATGGCTTCTATTCGAACCTCACGTCAACAGAGCTCTTCCATACCATGGTCGGTCGAGAGGGTCGATACGGTAGACAAGACTGCCAAAATGGGTTCCCTCCAGCGAAGGTTGGTCAAATGCCTGCTAGATCGTCCAATACGACGGTACGGTGCGGAATGCGATCGGCGAACTGAATGGACATAAAATGAAATTTTTTTGCGCTTTCCCCTGCATTTTTCCTCAGCTATTCTAGCCACTCATTGGTTTAAATTGGTATATAGGGTATACGTCCCTAACCTCGGTCTAATATGCAGCCATCGATTACGTTTTTAATCATAACTCATCAATGAATTTACCTGCAAACGATATTCTACTGCTAAATGGTATGCTTAGATATGCTTATCATGTCGTTTGCTATCAGAAACCACGAAAAGTTGAAAAACTTACTTTTTTAAGACAATAACTCACGAGGGAAATGTATGTAATATGGGTCTATTGTCCCCAAATTGGGTCTATTTATGGATGCAACTTCGTCCTATCTTGTTTGATCCTCAAAAAAACGCTCTTGGTAACGTTTTCTGATGTATTTTTTTTTATCACTATCACTGTTAACTTAATGCTCTTCATTCCTCAAAACATTTCTTAGAGAAAATTTTACGAAAACTACATTAAATCACTCAATTTAAAAATTAAAAATTAAAAATTTCGCTTATCGTCTTTCGACCGCAGAATATCTAAATCAGAACATTGTGATGTTCATTATACAGATTTGGCAGAAAAAATCTCCCTTCCTGTTCGTTCCTTATCATCCAAATGCAAACCACATTGTTGACGTTACTCTTATTGCTATATGCTGTCAAATGAATTTCATGGGCCAAAGTTAGGAACATAGAAAAGAAATGTGTCCCTAAAGTTGGGTCCATGTTTTACTTGTGAAAACGTTGTTAAACAATTAAAATAAACATAAAATATTCAAACAGCAACTGTAAGTTTTACGTCTAGTGTGTATTATCAGGTAATTCCAATCAATAAATGCCATAATCAGGCCATTTGATGATCGTCAGTCAACCTTCCCATCTTAACCTTATAAGTCATGGCGGCTAAAAACTCCGAACATTGTGATATTCTCAACCAGTTTTATTACTTACGAGAGCTGAAAATGTATTGAAATGTTGTGATATAAATTGATTTGTGTGTGGTACACATTTATCAACCATCAGTGATCAATATTTTCCTTATTTTTTGTGTAATATTCCTTAATTAATTATTTATTTGCGTGATAGGCCGAATGAAAGGACTAGACCCACATTACATACCGTAACCCTACATCGATGGAAAATCCACAGGACTTTATTGCGCTGCTGGGGGATGTCGATACGTTTTAACCCATTATATTTCATAAGATCTGATTGCCTTAGCGACACTAAATCATTTGCTGTTCAGCCAGATCCCATGGCTGTACAAATGAAAAACAACAACCAAAGGATACTCAGTTGAACTGCAGATGCGAAGCTTATCTGGATCGCGCACCATTTCCGAAGTATGACAGATATGAAGTGGGGGATCATTTAATGGTTTTCACTGATGGTAATCATTAGATTTGATTGGTGGTATATTGGGAAAGGAACCTCAACTTCAAAGGACCGTGAACTTGGTAGGAGACATCATGATCAGCGATACTATAGGCTTGAGTGATGTCTTCGAGGGCACGTACTTCTGAGTCGATCAGATGAATTGTTTCGAGGATTGAATTTTCGCCCGTTCGAGTTCTGGGTTTGATTTTGTCGCGGAGTATTTTACAGGTAGCGTATAGGTTGGAATGCTTCCAGTTCCTCTTCCATCACCCACTCCACTCTCGTTCTAATGAGAATGAAGCTTAATGTTTGCCATGAACCATGGCCATGAATTAGCGAAATGTAAACACAATCACAAAAGTTTAGTTTCATGGCCACACCTTGATTGATACACTTTGGCCTACTTCGGAACGATCGGCACAACGCTTGGCACAGCTTTCGGCACTGCTAAATCTCTTGGCACAGATTAAGGTGTGCAGAATTTAATACCCCTTGCTCATAGACGTCTTATCAGAATGAATTCAGAGTTTTGACTGGAATTTAACCCTAGGGTCTACGGAATAGTCCACCGGAAGATCCTGAACATCGATAAAAGTGATCAATTAATGAAACGTCTTATGAGAATGAGTTAAAATTCGTAAAAGTGGTACATTCATGAAACTGATTCTAGAGCTCCACTTTTTTTTTTAAACCACTCATAGACGGCTTGTCAGAATGAATTCGGTGTTGTGTGTTGGAATATAGACCCTGATGTCCTCGGTATGGTTCACCGGAAGATCCGAAATATCCGTAAAAGTGGTCAACTTATGAAACTGATCCTAGACCTCTGCGGTTTTTTCGAAAACTCTCATAAACTTCTTATCAGAATGAATTCGGAGCTATGACCGAAACATGGACATTGGGCCAGGGGGTGGTCCACTAGAAGATCCGGAACATCCAGAAAAGTGGTCAATTCATGGAACTGATCCACTAGACGATCCGGAACATCCTTAAAAGTGGTCATTTCAAGAATCTGATCCTAGAACTCCGCAGTTTTTTTTTAAATACTGAATAACGTCTCATCAGAATGAATTACGAGTTAAAACCGGAATGTTACATTTAGTAAACCACATAAAGTATTCGTGTTCGCCGAAATTATTGCGACACCGAAAATGTCATGCCAATTTTCTTATAATGTTTAGAATCAAACCAAAATTTTAGGGTAGTTTTATACATATATTTACTTCAAAAATCAAAAGAAAAGTTAATCGATGGAGCCTTGAGTGTAAAATTGAACGCATTTTCGCATGATGCCCTCCATCAAAGTCTTTACAGTGTCATCCGGTACCAGTTTCTCAGTTTTTTTTTTCCATTTTCTTAACATGTCCTTCTCGTCTTTGACTGTCTTCTTGCTCTTGCGAAGTTCCCGCTTCATTATTGCCCAGTACTGCTCCACCGGGCGCAGCTCCACCGGGCGCAGCTCCACCGGGCGCAGCTCCACCGGGCGCAGCTCCACCGGGCGCAGCTCCACCGGGCGCAGCTCCACCGGACGCAGCTCCACCGGGCGCAGCTCCACCGGGCGCAGCTCCACCGGGCGCAGCTCCGGACAGTTTGGCGGATTCATGTCCTTTGGAACAAAATGGACAGAATTGGCCTCATACCACTCCAGGACACTTTTAGAATAGTGGCATGATGCCAAATTTGGCCTAAATAGCGGAGCTTCATCGTGCTGCTGCAAGAACGGCAAAAGGCGCTTCTCGAGGCACTCAGATTTGTAGATCTCGCCATATACTGTGCCCTTTGTCACGAAAGGCTCA